CTTCTCTCTTCAAGAAACTACTTTCTTTCATATTTTTTAATTCAGCAGATTTCTACTACCTTCTTATTAGCTCAGAATCCATGAGGGTAAATCTCTCGATGAGAGAAATTTGGTGCAAACCTATCCCTCCTAAAGTGCATGCTCTATGTTGGGGAAGCTTCCTCAGGAAGACTAACACCTGTGACGTGCTACAAAAAAGAAGGCCAAATAATTGCCTTTCTCCACGTGTGTCCTTTGCAAGGCCAGTGGTGGGACCCTTCCTCATTTACTAATCTCTTGTTCGTTTGTGATTTGTATTTGGGACTATTTCTGCTCTCTTTTTGGTTGCAGATGGGTACCCCCCACAGGATGTGGTTAGCCTATTCAACTCCAGCTTTTTGAGGTAACAAAAGAAAAGGGGAAAATGTCTATGGAGAATAACAAGAGCAGCCCTAGTATGGACCATCTGGGAAGAGAGAAACCAAAGAATCTTCCATGAAAAGAGTAGATCAAAGGAGGAAATGATTGAATCCATAAAGATCAGATCTGCACATTGGGCAAAAACAAGTTAACTTTTCAGAGATGTTTCTACAAATGACTTATTATGGAAATGGACCAAAGTGGCACAAACAGCTACACACAAAGAAGTAGTGATAATGGACCTCTAGGGTCAAATAAAATGAAACTAAATTTTGATGGGAGCTCCTTTGGCAATCCGGGGGGCGGGTATAGGGGGAGTCATCAGAAACCATCAAGGAGTAGTAGTGGCCTTATTCTCTAGGCCAGTTGGATTTGGAGATCCAGTTAAGGATGAGATAATGGTTCTCTTACAAGGACTAAAACTAGCAAAACAGCTAGGTGTTAGAGAGCTCGAAGTAGGAGACTCCTTATTGGGCTATTTCTTGGACGAAACAAATCAAGTCAGCCCCTTGAAAATATAGATTTTCCTTTAGGGAAATTTACTTCCTCACAAAAAGTTGCAACACTATCTTTGGATGGGTAAAAAGAACAACAAATGAGCTGGCAGATGTCCTAGCAAAACAGGGAGTCAACAGACCCACTTTATTTTGGGCAATGTTGTAATCTTTGAGAGTAAAAGGGGGGGATGGCACAGCTAGGGTGACCAACCTGTTGTCTGTTGTGCTTTGGGATACCGTGTAGCAAGCCATGAAACCTTTTTCAATCATTAATAAAGAAACTCATTTTTCTGATCAAAAAAAAAAAAAAAAAAAGCTATAGCAAGAAGCCTAAACACACCAGATATGGATGTTGGAAGTTGCATTCTAACCTAAAACTTGAATGATTTAAGATTGGAAAAGAGGGGTAATGCTAACGCCGCTAGGATTCAAGCATCCTCTTCCACATCTGCTAGTAATTCTGACATAACAGAGAAACTCAGAAATCTTCTGGTTTCACTTGAGAGTAATGGAGGCAAAGGCCAGAAGTATGGGCTTTAATACAATTGTTGACAAGGAAGTGGAGGTTGGCAGGCTTTTGGGTTTGCCTTTTGTGGGCGGAGAAGCTTTTATCAGAAGAGCCCTTGAAGGGTTCAAGAAGATAGTTTGAATAAAAAACCATTAGGGGAAGGGGTGAGGCTTGGCATGAGAAAGGATGGGAAGAAGATTTTGATGGGCAGGCTTAACTTCAGATTTAAGGGAGTTTGGAGTCGACGTAGAGGGAAGGTGACTTTGCTATTCCAAGTGTCCAGAGTTCAGGGAGAGTTTTGAGAGTTTGGTTGAGTTTCAAATATCTCTTTTCTTTTGATTAGTCCTGTGGTTTGATGTTGGAGGTGTTGCCTTGACACTGCTTGAGGATGTATTCAACTTTTCTTTTATTTTTAACAATTTTTTTTCTTTTATTATCACAATAAAATCAAGTAGTGGATCCATGAACGCAATAAGCATTAACTGTCAGAGAATAGGGCACCATGTTCCACTGTTGGATATCCATGTATTAGGAGTGATCATGGGCTGGTCCTGGTACCTCGTATAGGGGGCATCATGAAAGACTGGGCCTGCCCAAGATTACATGCAGGCCTTGTGCCAGGTTTAGCAAGAAAATCAAGGCCTAGGTCTGGAAATTTGTGTGTCAGACGGGCCAGGCTGAAAATTAGGATCCCTATTATATATAATTATTGCATATAATATATGCTAGTATTAAACAGTTTATGAACTTACTACTACTACATGTCTACATGATATATGGTAGTATCAAGTAACTGATTATTTCTCCTGGATAAATTGCTTCAAACATACTATAAAACAACAAGAGTTTTTTCTCTGCAAACATCACTTTCTTGAATATCTTCATAGATTATTGAGTTATTGCATATTTCTATAAACAAATCAAAATTCCCCTACTGTAATATGAACAGTCATATGCCCAATTCTGTTTCAGTGGCAAAAGTCATACCTTCCGATATGCCAATATGTCAGATAAAGGAATTGAAAGCATCATTTTTAGAGCAATATCAAGTGCATCGGCAAGTGCTCTATCTCCATATAATTCAAAGACACCAAAATTGACATAGTTTCCAGCAAGTGCTGTTACATATTAAGAATTCATATTAGAAAAGCTCCCAATATATCATAAGAAAACATGCATGTCCTCAATAAGAATACAAGCAGTGACTTTGTATAACCATCAACAATAAGAGGAAACGTAATAACACCAACACAAACAGCGGAATCTGCTTTTTATGTTGCTGACCATATTTTGAGTTTTCCATGTACCACTCTTTTTATTAGACTAGAGGTCAACACCCTGATGAAAATAATGGCCTTTCAATAGGACTGAGCAGTCATCACATTGTATGCAAGCTATATTTTGTACATCACATCAAAATGTTCATGACAATGGTGAAGTAGTGTATAAAACTGCATAATGCATAACAAGTAGGTGTATTATAAACATTCTTTTCAGATTACAGTCTGCTGGAGTGATTGTAAACTTGAAAAAAACAAAAAGAAATTCCTAAAGTTTTGAGAAGAGATTAGATCCAAATGCCCAGTAGAGGAAGACTGAAAGAATGCATTTGATGGATTGGTTTCTCAAAGATTTTTTAGGATTCTCTTATGATCTCGAAACCAGTGAAAGGAAATTCTCTTTAACTCTTCTTTTAATGCATAGCCAAGTATATGTAATTATACATGATTCTTAGTTTCTTACTCATTATCCATGCACTGTAAGCATGATCTTGCTCCCTTTTAACAACAATAGTAATGTAAATTACATCATCTATCCAGAAAATGATACATGATTCTTAGTTTCTTACTCATTATCCATGTACTGGGCTGAGCACCTGTTACAAGAATATTTTATATTCTAAGACATAAAACATGTATAAAATATATTTTTAGTAAATTCCTTATAGTCTAGTATCTTGGATTCCTCAGTGTCTTGATTATTTCTTACAGTACACTGCGAATTAGAAGATTGAATAACTAATTTGCCAGAGAACAAAAACTTATCACCTGATTTCAAAAGCAACTAAACAACTAACAGAATTCCAGCATATTCACTGATGAGACACCCACTCAAATTTCTAAAAACAAATAATCTAGTTTCTGCATTACCTCTTGAAAGGATAGTTAAACATATCCAAATTCCCTTGTACTTAAAGGCATAAACATCTGCAGCATTTGGAAGAGACAAAATTCTTGATCCATAAGCAATAATTAACTTGCTGACTTCACGGAAAAGAAGTATTCCATTAGGAGATGATGAGTCAAAAGTTAGACGTTGGGCCTTGTTTAGCACAAATTCTGCCATAAACTTTAACAATGGGGTTGTAACCTGCACCATTGGGCCACATTAAGATATGAACCTATACTTTATATTTCCTAATTTACCCTAATGAATGCAGAAGAATATTTTAAATCACCTAAAATGAACAAGAAAAGAAACTCTAAGAAAAATTCTATGAAAAAGAATAAAAAAGTGATTATCTTTAACTATAACTACAGAAGAAGGATTTAATAACAAGTGCAAGTCCACAGGCAAAATAATAAGGAAGATTGAAAGTTTCACATGCTTGAATGATTCTATTCTTAAATTTTCATTTTAGATATGTTTTGCATATTATATTTATGTGTTTTAATTTGAGATAATAGGTTTTGTAAACATTTAATTTAAAATTTAAGTTTATATTTTTAATTAATATTATGTTTTTTTTTATTTTCTTTTGAAAATTTTGGCCTTTTTTATTGCACTTTTTGCCTCGCTTTGAAAAGTCATGTGCCTTGCCGCCTTGCACCTTGGAAGCAAAATGCCCATTGTGCTTTTTTTGCACGTCATGCTTTCAAAACACTGCTTTTGTCACTTATTTTCTTGATGTGTATAAATTTCGGGACCACGGATTGGTGTAACCTCAGCAACTACTTCTATAAAGGCCTTGTTCATAAATCTTATATTACAAAACTCTGAAATCTATGCATTGGGCATAAAGTGCCAGACAAGTGAAATACCAGAATCCAGAGAAAAGCAATTTGTCTAATGTAAACATAAATAAACAAATTGTCACTCCACGTGCTCTTGAACCAATGTGGAGGTGGTTTAGCTGATTTTTGCAAATTCATTTAGTGAAGAAGTAAAGTGTGATCTGGCATGGCATTGACTAGAGAATCTAGTGAAAGGTCTGGAAAGTAATCCCAATTCAAAAGGTATTAAGAATCTGCCCATTTTTACTAATTGATTGTTCCAACCAAATGAAGTGAGCCTTCTAGAGGGGATAAAAGGGTGGGATAGACAAGGATTTTGTGTAATGCTCTATGTATATTTTTATGTAATTACAAGCTTAGTTTATCTATATATGTATATTGTTACATGTTTTATACCATTAATAGCCTATAAACTTCTAAATAACCTTTTATTGTTTCTTGTACACTAGTAATGCTCTATTCTGTGGTGACCATGAAACCAAGGTTTGAAATGTCAATGTCGGTGGAAATGTCAGTCATCCAAATATAAGAAACATATTGGAAATGTTGGAAATATCGTACGGAAATGTCGTGAAAATTATAGATATGGTGGAAACATTGTAAAATGTGCAAAATATAGAATGGTATTTTATGAAATAATAAAAGAAGCATAGGGACACCTTTTTAAATTATTATCTTATTCTAAATCATTAAACAAAGCTAAGAAACTAAGGTTATAGACAAAAGAATATGTTCTAAAGTTGCCCTATAAACCTTAAGATTCAGAGCTTCATAATAGAATGAGTTAAAGCAAAAATTAAACTCATAGAAAATGTAAATGGTTGTAATATATTAACAAAATAATCTATTACACAAAAAAAAAAAACTAATATTTAATTTCACATTTGAAATGAATATTGAGTTAGCTCAAAGTGGTAATCATATAAGTTAAGTGGACAATAACTTGCTACTTCACGTACCTACAATATTGTCACCAACTTATGTTATAATACTATCTCTTGTACTCCACATAGTATTGGTAGTGTTCAATGTGGAATATGTAAATTCCAGTAAAATTTCATGTTGCTACCCATGGAAGTGGAAATGAAAGTATGTCGTGGAAACTATCTCTTGTACTCCACATAGTGTTGGTAGTGTTCATTGGGGAAATGTTGATTCCAGTAAAATTTCTTGTCGCTGCCCATGGAAATGGAAATATGTCGTGGAAATGTTAGGGAAATTAGGGACATTTTAAACCATGCATGAAACTTGAATCTTTGATTTTGTCTGTCTTAATGCCTTCATGGATTTTGTGCATCTTCAATGCAATTGGATTATGCTTTTTTATATATTGAATTATTGATGTTTTTATGAGATATGGTTATGGATTATTAGACTTTAATTATGGAGGTTCATGTTATTTTGATTGATTGAGATTCAATATTTGCATATTAGTATATGTCAAATTTTTGTATTAATTTTTTTTCTTCAAAAATCGTGCCTAGCTTTATTCAGTCAAACACCTCAACATTTGCTTCAGAAAATCAGAAGCCCTTATGTTTTTGTTGCACCTCTCACTTCTAGAATATTGTCTTTCTCCTCTCCCTCCAAGTTCCTTTCACTCTAACCAGCTTGCCAACAAGAAAAAGTAAGGGTAAAAACAAAGCAAACAATGCCAAAATACAACTCATGCACTGTTTTCCCTAGATACCAGACAGTACCAAGCTTGCTTTAAGTCATTATCCCATATAACCCAACAATTCTCAACCTTTTATTCATTTAAAGTTTCAGGAAAACTTTTAACATTCACCTAGAAAAATGAGATGCATAGCAACTATAAAGTCAATTTTTTGGGACAACATCTTAAATAAGGCAAATTCACTGAAACCTAAGTTTCCTTGATAACAAAACAACCAATTAATTGAGTCTTGCATAGTCAAAAAAATTAGTCCATCTTGAATACTGAAAATAGTAGGAAAACAACAAATTTCCCCTACCTCTGGTGTATCTGTCCAATGTGAAATGCCTTTTAAAAGAAGAGGCATGTGCGCAGGATAAAGCCAATCAAATAAGAGTCCATAGGTTCTGCGGCTGAAAATTGTAAAGGAATAAATAATAAGAAAGCATGAAGAAGTTAACATATTCCTCACACCCAGAATTGAGTTTCAGAAATAGCGTGAAAGTAAACCTATTTGTGGCCATTGCAATTCCTCTGAGATCCCGCATCAACCCAATCAATGCATACTTTACAGTATCAGTTCGAAACATGGTATCAGGTGTTGATTCCAGACTGATGAAAACCTAAAGCAAGACAAAACTTCAAGGTTAGAAATCACATTGAGAAAAAAAAAAGGCCAGTCCATATCTAAGCTTGTGATTCATATAACACCAGAAACTAGAAAAAGGAATATATTTATTGATGCACGAAACAACCAAGTGTAGGTAGTGAAAAGTAGTACAAAACACCAGATAGGTAACATGAGCTAATATGGGGGAAAAACCTATGGTTTTCAGTGGAGTTTAGGCTATGAAAAAGAGAGATCTTGTAGCAATTGTGCAATAAATAGTTAGAGAGTTAGAAGACGTCCAAATTTACAACTACCATTATTACTATGGTCTTTTCTTGTTTCTTTACAATTTTCTTTTCCAGAGGGGAGAGGGGACAGAGCAGGACTGGTCCAAAATTAAAAAGCCTCAACTCTGTACCTGCAGGAGAGGATCCATTGAAGATTTAAATTTGACAGGGCTATCTTCCATGAAGATCAACCATCCAATGGTGTAATAGAAGGTTGTTCTGCTACGAGAGCATCTATATTCTTCTAAAAATGGGAAGTGTTCCCTCTGAAAATACAAAGCCCAGATATTAGTTGCTACATCAATCTTGCATGCGAATTGGAGACCAATCATATGCACATGAATGGAACAAAACAAATATGGTAAACATATTGGAACTCATATTACAGTGTGATGCCCAATTATGAATTTAATAGTATCCAACTTCAGAAGCAACTTTCCAGTCATATATCTGCAAAATTACAATGTCAATATTCCCAAAGAATTACTATCAGAACAATATAGCAAAATATTTTAAAGACGATAGCAATGTCTAGTTTTCCTAGTCAGATAACGGGTAACAGAACAAACCCAGACGCCAGCTCCAAGAACAGACTTAAGGTGTGATCAATAACCTCCTCACTCTGCATGTAGGACATGATATTGCATGAACCAGCATCCTAAAGTAGTGAATTAGCAAGAAACAAAAACTGAACACACCTCTGTGTAACACTTGAGATTTGTGGCAATTTTTCCAACAATGACATTCAATAACAAAAGATGATCATGGATTCCAAGAAGCTCAGACAAGCGGGCATATAACTGCTGCAAGAAAGATAGATAGCATCAAGGATTATGTAAACAAATTACTTGATGAAGAGGGAAGTTCACCCACCTTAGAAGAATGCATTGCCTGATCACCAACATAAGACTTTCGAAAATGCTGAAAGAAAGTAAGAATCGCACGATCAAGTCTTTGCTTGCTTAACTCCCCATATCTCTGCCAAGTTCCAAATGAAGAGAATCATAAACTTCAGAGCACTTCCCACAATACAGATAGAAATTATTAAGCAGAAAGATGTTGAGATTGCTTACACGGGTATTTTTGAAACTTTTTCTCTTCCTTGTACTATTTTTGTAGTTGGCCCCCCAAGTAGGGGCTTCCTTGTAATTATTATTTTCAAAGTATAAAGTTTTTTTGAGGGTGTGAACAGTAACTAGAACACACCTCTCGATGCATCTCCTCTTCTTCTTCCTCTTCTTCTCTCCTCTTGCTTCCTCTCTTCTCTAAACCCTAGTTTCATCTTTTGTTTGTCAACTAAAGACAAGAGCTTCCTTAGTTTCAAGAGAGGCCTTACTTTCAAGAGAGCTTTTCTCCTTCTATATTTTGTGATACTACCACAGTTCTTAACAACAAAATAGCAAGTCAACAGGAGATTGATTTTTCTAGTGTCTACTCTTTAATAATAAGGACATGCATGACCTATGTTATCAAAGTATAGTCCAGTTAATGTTTTGATTAATGACTAGTCAACTGACTAATTAGGTGAGGGCTATACCAACTGCATTATTCACTTACCTGTTGATAACCAGGAAATAGTAAGAGTATTTTTTTGCAAGTAAATGAGGGTAGAAGGGGAAGGAGTAGGCCAAAATGGACATTGATAGAAGTAGTAAGAAATGATTTAAGGGCCAAAAAATTTACAATGGTTATTGGCATTAAACAGAACGGAATGGTGATATATAAGGCTTGGATGATGATGATGACATTTTGGCAGGGTTAGACACAGTTGTATATCTTACCAGCCATCTGACTCAAAATAATTTAGTATCAGTAGTGGTAAATAGTGGTAATAATAACAATTGAAATTGATTAAAAAAATTTTACTTTCCTTCATCCAAATCACTTCACTTTATTCTCTTTTCACATTTCCAGTTAAATCTATCTTGATCATTATCAATACATTGGCAAAAATTCAAAATAAAATAAGGAAAAATGCATTTGCACAAGCCAATGTTACATATTCAGATTGACATACCTGAATGTGTAATCCACTATCACTGATATTTATTAACTGGAGTACACGGGCTGCAAGTTCCGCGTCAATTATTTCTTGTGATTCCGTACTGCAAGTGAAGAAAAATTAAATAATTTGAGAGTAAAAAGCCAATTGAAAACTTTCAAATTATTCACAGTAAAACACATTTACTAACCTACATCCAATGGACTGTTTGATTTTAAGAATGGCAGCAATAATATGAACTATCCATGCAAGTTTTGCTTCAACCACAGAAAGTTCACCATTATCTCCACTTGCTGGTAGCCTTGCTCTTTCCTATAATTCAAATAAAGAGAATTAGTCTAAACTATATCATTACAAAAGAGAAATCACTGATATCTCAACCAATGAAGACTGTTAGGCAACATACTGTATAAGTCTGCAGAATCGGCTCCATAACCTTTATTATATAGAGACTACTACTTTCATACTGCAACTCAAGAAAGAAAAGAATATTAAGCACCAAAGCGAATTTGGTAAATTAATGCTACAAAAAGATAAGAATCACAAGACAATTAACTATTAAAGATTTATGCCAGGAACTCAAACTTTTGGGAATTGGACAGAGTTATTTTCCTGGAGTGCATAGCCTAAACTGTCTTCAGACTGCCAAGGCCATAAAACAAGCCAAAACTGAGGACCTCTACCTGGAATCTGCAAAGGTAAGGAAAGCACTCTAGCTGATCCTGGAGAAGTTCAACATTGTCCAATGGGTTCTCAGAGATGTCATCTGGAAATCCAGCCTGCAATGGAGATAATCACAGAATGAGGTATATGGTTTCAAATGTCATCAAGCAAAACCGAGATGTAAAATTGGAGGGATATCAGCAACCTGTACAGAATCAAATCGTGAAGTGATAAAACCTTCGGTTATCTTAGGAACAAATTCATCCAGCATACTTGGTGTGTCACCCTTGAGGTAGGGAACAGATGTCACCAATCTGGACCACAGTCCTAAAAGGTAGTAAACACTGCTGCTGGCCCACTGTAAAGGAAATGTAGAAAATAGCTGTCAATTTGTGGTTATGAATAATGGTTATACAGTCATATATTTATACATCAGAAAAAAGAAATAAGGAGGCTAACCTGCCAGGACTGAAGAGATTTTAATGTAAATTCAGCCACTAGACGTATCCAATCACTATAACCTTCCACCTTCACAAGCTCAGACAACTATGACACAAACCACAATTACAATACAATAAGCACCCATATGCTCAAGTCCATGCAAGTCATGATTAATTTCAATATTCTAGAAATACTTCATAGTTCATATGAAAAACTCCAACTTGCAGTTTCAAGTAAACATATTCCTGAATCCTGAACCACATAATGTACATGAAAACCAGAATAATAAAAAACACAATCTGAATTGCTTCACTCCTAGTTTTGGTTTCAAGACCAGGGCAGAAATTTGCCTCATCACCTTAAGGCATTTAAAATACTAGCAACCAAAGGCCCTCAATTTTCACAAAAACTGGATAATATTTGTTTGTTGAATCAACCAACCTCTCATGCATTCATTTCTCTCTTAGGGTCTCTTAATCTATAGCACTCAACTTATGTGTATGACTAATTCAAATATTTCATATGCAGTTTAGTGTGGTCAGCCATTTACTGTATTTGGTATGATGAAACTGAAATGTGCATAAGATCTATGGGGGCACCCAAACATGAGGGCACTCAGAGATGATTTGACTCAAAATGGCAAAGATGGCTATAACAAGAAAATTCCAAGTTTTGATTGAACTTGAGGGAAAACAACCTAGAAAAGTTTTAGTTCATTAGCGGTGTTATCAAACTTTGGCTTCAATATTAACTCCAGTCCATGTGGAAGTGGAATTAATTCGTACAGACAAACTTACAGTTTATGATTCAATTTGCAATTTGAATCATGAATTTGGCTTTGATTTAAATCCTATGTCTAAACCCCTTTCCGCAAAAACCTTACAATTACTATTGGAATACTATCATTCAAGTTGTAAGTTTTACAACACACATTCATTCCATTTGAACCAATTCAATTGGAACCTAGTTCTCTACTTTGTCATTATTCAAGGTTTTTTGGTAATAAATAGAAAAAGAAATTTTACTAGAAGAATATGAAAAATAGTACATGAAGGGGTAGGGGAGTTCAAATTTGGATATGTAACCAAAAACCAAACCGAAACAAACCAAATATGCCAGTTCGGTTCAGTTAGCTTGGGTATTGGTTCAGTTCAGTTTAAGATTTTTCAAAATTTTGGTTTTTGGTTATGGTTCGTTTTGGCTGAAATTTTCAACCGAACGGAACTGAAAACCAAACTATTAAATTATTAATATAATAAATAATAATATATAGCATTTTGTTTATAAATATTGATATTTATATCTCCCCTAAATACCCCCAACTCAATTCTAATTTTTAAATCCCAATGACCCATTTGACCTGCCCTTTCGAATTCCATTGATTCAACTCCAATTTCCAAAGTCCAAGAGGCAAGGACTCCAAGTCCATACCATAACCAAACACTTAAACCATTAAGCAAAAAAAATACTATTATAGAGATAGTGGAGAGTGTTGCTGACACCATTGACAACCGTTGTGACTTGTTAGTGTCACAGTTAGATCAAGAGACAGAAAAAAAGGACATAGCAAATGTTGGGTGTGTCAAAAGTAACAATTGACACCCGGGAAATAGAATTTATATTACATAGTGAAAGGACCATTCTGTCCCCAAACTACAAATAGTGGCAAAAGAATAAGAAAGAAGAATCTAATGTACAAAGTATGAAAAGACAAAATAACCCTCTATCCTTCCTTGTCTCTATACTCCCCATCAAATTTATATCAACAACTAGAAAGGAAGAGGTCACAAATAAAATGACAATCAATTTCTATGTGCTTTGTGCACTAATGAAACACAGGACTGGATGCAATCTTGATAGCACCGAGATTGTCTGCAAAGAAGGGAATTGAAGGTGAAGACTCATGTAGAAGACCATGTAGAAGAGCCCTGAGCCAGATAATCTCACTATATACCAAGGACACAGCCCTGTACTCAACTTCTGTAGATGATTTGGATACTATAGATTGCTTTCTGCATTTCCAGGAGATAAGAGAGTCACCCAAAAAAAAAAAAAAAAACAACACTAACCTATAGTAGATCTCTGAGTATCTAGGCAACTTGCAAATCTACATCAACATAGGTAGTAAGGCTAAGAGAGGATGATGAAGAGATGAATAAGCCATGAGATAAAGTCCCTTGCACATATCTGATAATCTGGTAAACTATAAATAAATGTGGCTATCATGGAGATGCACAAACCGGTACAATCTGGACTACATAAGATATATCTGGCCAAGTCATAGTATGATAAATCAAACTACCTACCAACTGGCAATAGAGAGTAGAATCTTCAACAGGGAGATCATCATCCTTACTAAGTTTCAAATTAAACTACAAGGGAGTGCCAACTAACTAGGAACCGATGAGATTAGTCATCCATGCAAGATTGGCTGCAAACTTGAGCTATTTGACAAAGTAACCATGAGAATTATGACCGACTTCCAATCCCAAAAAATAAGTCAAGGGGCCCAAGTCCTTCATCTTGAAGGATTCACTTAGAAGATTCATCAAATTAACAATCCCTTCTACATCATTCCATGTGATGACAATGTCATCAACATAGAGAAGTATAGTCACTCCCTAATCCCGATGCAAGGTAAAGAGAGAGTAATCAAAGGAGCTCTGTATAAAGCCAACATCTGTGGTAATAGAGTGGAATCTCTCAAACTAGGCTTTAGGTGCTTGTTTAAGGCCATACAAGGATTTCTTGATGCGACAAACAAGGTGAGGATCACTACAATATCCAGGAGGAGGCTTCATAAACACAACCTCCTTCAATTCTCCATGGAGAAAAGCATTCTTCACATCCATTTGATGGATCTCCCATTGTCTAGCAATAGGGATGGCTAGGTGTAGTCAAATAGCAGTCGTCTTTGCCACTAGAGCAAAAGTCTCACCATGGTCTATCCCGTACCCCTGCCTGTAGCCTTGAGCAACAAGACGAGCCTTGTATCTATCTAGAATTCTATCAGACTTTAATTTCATTGAATAAACCCACCAACTACCAATAATAGATGCCTCAGGAGGAGCCTTAACAAGTTCCTAGGTATCATTTTCAAGAAGAGCTTGAAGCTCAAAGTCCATGGCATCTTCCAATAAGGAATGACTATAGCCTGTTGGTAAGACTTGGGGATATTTGTGGTGGACAACACAACAAAGAAAGAACTATGTTCTAGAGAGAAACCATAGCAGCCAGGAGGTCGAGAAATCCTAGAAGAACATAGGAGCAGTGGACAAAATGGTTTTAGATGTAGGAATAGAGGAACTTACAAGGATGAATGGTGTAAGTGGACCATTAGCTGGCCAGATGTAGGAATAGAGTTTGTTGCTTTTGGAAGTATGTCTAGAATTGCTACAAAAGTGATGTAAGAGCTTCTATAGAGTTTATAGAGTCAAAATTGTTCAATAACGAAGTAGGAGCAAGTAACTTATTGATCATAGTTTTCAAGGCGCCAAGGCAAGGCTAAGCAACCAAGGGGTGCCCGGGCACCCAGGCGCCTAGGCGATGAAATCAAAAAATAGTAAGCCTACGTGTTTCTACGCTTCATGAGCTAGTTGGTTTTATACATTAACCTACAAACCTCTAAACTAAATTTTCTACTTATGATTCTTGTAGTCATGCTTAAAGCATGCAATATAGAATAAATAGAAATTTGGACTTAAAAGAAGAACTGAAGAGGGCGTAGCCCCTATGTTTGACCAAGAAAAGAAAAAGAGCTTGAGGAGAAAACAGGAAAGCAGAGCCCTGTTTTAGACCAAAAAAAGAAAAAGAACAAGGGGCTCCACTACTGTTTTAGACCAAGAAAAACTAGGGAAACACTAAATAAAGAAGAAAATGAAAAGAAGGGGGCAAAGCCCCTGTTTTAGATCACCAGTCAAGAGGAAAAAACGATGAAGAAACGCAGAGAAATGAAGAAGAAAAGGGGGCGGAAACCCTGTTCCAGATTAACATCGAGGAGGACAAAAGTGCAGGTAAAAGGGCGAAAAGTTTGCAGGAAAATAAAGAAGAAACGAAGGGTGCGGAGCCCCTGTTTGATTCCAAAAAAAAAATCATGCAAAAAACGTATGGAAAAGACAAAAAAAAGGAAGAACCAACAAAAAGGAAGAAAAAAAAAGGCTGAAAACGAAGAGGGTAGGAGGAAGAATAGGCGGACTGAAAACTGAGAAGAAGAAGATGATTCATTTGACTACCTGGCATATTCAAAGTTGTTTAGAGTTCTAGTTGGTTGTTCAGCATTGCAGCGTTGGAGTTCGACTGTGTTTGAAACATACCTAACCGGACAGCTCTCCCTCTTCTATTCAGTTCTGCCATGAAAATAAAACCCTAAAAAGACAGCACTCTTCTTCTAATAAAAAGAGTGATAATGTGTGATAGGTTCTATTGTAATAACAAACACAAACCAATAAAAACTATTTGCAGCAAAAGAAAAGTAAAAAACAATATAAAATATTAAAGGATTAATGTATTAAGAGATGTATTAATGTGTCTTGCATCTAGTCTAGGCGTGTGCCTTGGAGTTAAGCGCCTGCCTAGTCGCCTAGGCATGCGCCTAATTGACTGGGTGTGTGCCTTATACAAACTTTGCATAGCGTCTGGGCGAGGCGAAGTTTGAAAACCGCCTAGTCCCCTAGGCGTCACCTTGACAACTATGTTATCAATATGTTCAAAGAAAAACACATTTTCAAGAAAAATAGCATTGCGGGATATGCGAATGCAACAAGTCGTGGGATTATAACAAAGGAAGCCCTTGTCATCAGGACTATAGCGCACAAAAGCACACAAAGTCGCTTGACCAATTAGTTAATGTGCTCATGGGGTGGAAGATGAGAAAAACAAGCACAACCAAATACACAAAACATGGAGAAGTCTTAAGGACAATGAAAGCGAGACTGAAAAGGAGAAGAATTGTCCAAAACTGGCAATGGAAGAAGACGTATAAGCTACAAAGTAGTGCTGGCTGCCTCAACCCAAAACCAAGAGGGTACATGTAAATCTTGCGAGAGAGTTCTAACTAAACTAAAAATGTGTTTATTCTTTCTTTCTACCACCCCATTCTATTGGGG